CATACTTGCGCATTACTCTCCTTTTGCCTGCCGCTAAACACCACCCGTTCATCTGCAATTGATTAATCGAATCCCGATATTTTATAGCGACCCGATATTGAACGCGAATTCGAACGAGAGAGCGACTGTTCAAACCCTGTTGGAGAGATTAATCCTGGAGGAAGATCAGTTCGACGTTCACGATATTCTTCCCAACACGGTACCTGATCCAGCATCCTTGATATTGGAGTCCGATTATGATTGTCCTGTGGGCCAAGTGGTGATGGCACCCGATTGTGGTAAGTATTTTTGACAGATTTTTCTTTCTTAAATTAAACATAATAAAGAAATCAAATTCTTAAATATTCGTACAAATTTCTCTACTTTTAATTAGATTATTAGAATATCCGAACATTCGGTTGAAAATGAATGTTTCCTATATTTAACCTCATTTTCATGCAAATTAATCTAAGCTTCAATGTTGTTGTTCAGAATATTTAAGTAGTCTCTAGTTCCTCATTGGAATATTTACACAGTTATCTCAATTCCCTCATAACTTTACAGTTACGTCAGTTTCTACTCGACAAGAATATCTAAACGCATCCATCCAATTAGAATAATATTCAAATCGCCATGAACTCTACCATGAAAACCATCTAACCCCTATAACACTAAAATCCATCCACTTACCCAAATATCTCCATTCCTCATTAGAATATTCAAACACCTATTGTAATTCCTCCAGGCTAGTCACCACGTGACACGAGTTCTCACATTTCCACGCTTCACAATCTCTAAAACACATCTCCATTCCCCATTACAATATTCAAATTATTCATCTATTCCCTCGAAACCATGAACAAATTACAAATTTCCCCTACCCATCAAAACCTATCTCCAAACATTCGATCCACGCATTCAATTAAAAAATTCAAAAAACCATCCATCCAAGTTAAAATTAAAAATTACATAATTTTAATCACTTTAGTCCCCTGCGCCGTGGGAACGTTCTACGACGAGGAAACGAAGCAGTGCATATCCTGCCCCGTTGGAAGCTACCAAAGCGAGTCGGGTCAGCTCAAGTGCAGCTCCTGTCCCGTGATAGCAGGACGTCCAAGCGTGACAGTGGGGCCGGGTGCCCGAAGCGCAGCCGATTGCAAGGAGCGTTGCCCGGCGGGAAAGTACTACGACGACTTGGCAGGCCTGTGCCGAAGTTGCGGCCACGGTTTCTACCAACCGAACGAGGGCAGCTTCTCCTGTCTGCTGTGCGGCCTCGGCAAAACGACGAGGACGGCGGAGGCCGTGTCCAGGGAGGAGTGCAGGGACGAGTGCGGGTCGGGGCAGCAATTGGCCGTGGAGGGGAAATGCGAGCCCTGCCCGAGGGGCAGTTACAGGACTCAGGGCGTCCAGGCTGCGTGCCAGGCGTGCCCCGTTGGCAGAACTACCCCGAATATGGGATCCGCTGCGATAGAGGAGTGCTCTCTGCCCGTCTGCGAACCGGGGACTTATTTGAACGGCACCTTGAACGAATGTATGGAGTGCAAGAAGGGGACTTATCAGTCGGAGCCTCAGCAGACCTTCTGCATACCTTGCCCTCCTAATACCAGCACCAAGGGAACTACTGCTGTGAGTATCTTTTTTTTTTTTTTTCTGAGATTCTGAGTTCTGGTTTCAAACAAGTGGAATTTTATCTAAAATGATCTGATGTTTAATCAGCTGTTTTCAATAGGTTTTTTCAATAGTTGTTCTTGGATATACTTCGAAGAGAAAATGAAAATGAAAAATTTCTCGCTTTGCAGGAAATCTTTAATATTTTTAGAATTATCGTTCGGATCCTTATACATATTCATTTGCGATTCAAGATGAGTCTCGATTAACATCAATTGTTAATAGCAATTTTTCAATTGTATATTCTCCTTTTGATCGAAATCAAAAAAAAATCGTGTCGTCTTTTGATCGAAATAACGATCTTTATTTAAAAATTAGACGAGCAAAGCGGATTGCACGAATCCGTGCGAGACGAGCGATGCGGAAATGCATTGCGACGCGAACGCGTATTGCCTTCTGATACCGGAAACCAGCGACTTCAAGTGCGAGTGCAAGCCTGGCTACAACGGAACCGGAACCGAGTGCACGGACGTGTGCATGGGCTACTGCGACAACGAGGGAGTGTGCCTAAAGGATTCACGGGGGCAACCGTCCTGCAGATGCAGCGGAAGCTTCACAGGGAAACGATGCACCGAGAAATCGGAATTCTTCTACATCACGGGAGGGATAGCCGGTGGCGTTATTTTGATCATCTTCGTCGTTCTTCTTGTATGGATGATCTGTGTCAGGTTAGTGGGTCGTAGAAATTGTGTGACGATACTTCTTACTTCTTCCTTTCGAATCGAAGATTATAACGAGGAAATAAAAATTTATCAACTACTACAAAAATTGTATTTTATTTGTACGTTTTTCGAAATAATTATTTCATTCGTGTGAAAATAATAATTAATAATTAATAATTTTTTAAATCCACACAGAGCGTCGAGAAAGAAGGAGCCCAAAAAGATGCTAACACCTGCCACCGATCAAAACGGTTCTCAAGTGAACTTCTATTATGGTGCGCCGACACCGTACGCGGAATCGATCGCCCCTTCCCATCACAGTACCTACGCGCATTACTACGACGACGAGGAGGACGGGTGGGAAATGCCCAACTTTTACAACGAGACCTACATGAAAGGTAAGCCGTGAAAACGGGATAAGTTCGAGAAAGGAGTGTGCATTCAGTTTCACGTGTTTTCTTTCTTCGCTCCTTTCAGAGAGTCTGCACAACGGTAAAATGAACAGTCTCGCGCGTTCGAATGCGAGTATTTACGGCACGAAAGATGATCTTTACGACAGGCTGAAGCGTCACGCGTATCCTGGCAAAAAAGGTTGGTAACATTTATAAAATGAATTTTCTATGCCTTTCTTTTCTCGATAAAAAATATATATATATATATATATGTGTGTGTGTGTAATTCGAAAAAGAAAAAGAAATATTATCTCGAAAGAAAAATTTTGTTCTTCCACAATATTCTTCTTATAATTTATTTAAATTATAAACGTTTGAATAGATAATTTGTTCGACTGGAATATTCCTACTTTTACGTTTACAGAATCATAAATCTGTATATGTTGCACGTATAATTGTCAAGATAAAATGCCTATGGTTCTTATGAACGTATAACTTTTCTATATGCAAAGGTCAAGTTGTAATAAATAATCGTTGAATTCGTCATCTGCCGCGTCGTATTAATAGAAATGACTACAGAAAAAAATTCCACGCTCTCCCTCCAAAACCGGGATTCCCAATCTGTGGGTCATGAACCTTATAGAGATCGCTAAGGTGTTAATAAAAAAAAGATGAAACAATCCTAAAACATTCCACCTAAACGTTTCCAAAATATTTTCCAAAAAATATTTAATCACAAGTATAGTTAGCGAGTTTGATAGAAATAATAATTATTCTCCAATGAAAAAATATTATTTACAGACAAAAGCGACAGCGACAGCGAGGGCCAGTGACGGCGATCGAGCGATCAACATTCTACAGCCGTAGGATACGAAAGACGAGAAGAGAAATTATCGTCCCTGTTACCCAGAGCATAGGGAATGTCGTCTCATCGACGAGAGACCGATTTATTTATTTTACTTCCAAACGAGGATTGTTTAACCACGTTGGCGGCGTTCGAGGATGATTCGTGAATCGAATCGAATCGAATTCACGAGTCCTCTCGAAAACTGTGTGTACTCGCGCCAACGTGTATGCGTATGAGTGATGTTTTTCCTTTTTTTTTTTTTTTTTTTTTTTTTTCCCTCTTTACGTTGATCGATTTGATCGAGAGACGATCGAGGTCCTGGAACGACGATCCATCATGGTAGGATCGTTGTTTCGGCACCCGTACAACATCGATCAACGAGATCGTGAATGTTCGCGACGAGAAAAGACTATTATGCGTGAGGTTGTAATTTTTTGTAATTTATAATACCACCTAGCCTATAATTAAGGACTTTTTATCCCTATCGATTAATTTTCCGCGTCTTTCTCTCTCTCTTTCTCTCTTTATCTTTGTCTATCTCTCTGTCTGTCACTTTATGATTCAACGTGATGCGTACGAGAGGTGGAAGTGTGTTCATGTATGTTAATACAAACCCCCCCCCCCCCATCCAAACCACTTTCTCTCACTCATCCCATTTCTCCTTTTTATACATAAGCGAATTTATATTTTGTTACTATAGATATATCGTGTATCACACCCGCTGTAATATAAAATGTTGCAATGTAGGCTGCGGATTAACCGGGGAAGAGAGAAAAAAAAAAAAAAAAAAGAAATCAAAAGAGAAAGAGAATGGAATCGTAAGAACGGATCGACCGAATATGTACATTGAACCATGCCTACCAACCTGTTTTTTTTTTCACTTGTATTGTAAAAACTTTAACAAACGGTTGTTTTTTTTTTTTTTTATTAATAAAATGTATTACGACAAGACAAGTTGTTGTTTTCCTAGATCAATTTTATTTCAATTGTTATCACGACCTTGTAATTGTTATCACCCTGGTATTATTTGAATGAGAAAAGAAAAAAAAATTCTCTGTAAATTTTCCTCTTATTTGCTGAACTCTGAATCATACTATTACCATTAATTCTATTCGAGATACTTGTTTATGAGATGACTCATATTTCAAATAATCTATCAGTGCCAGACTGCAGATTTTATGCAAATTCATATTTTCAATTAAAGAAATAAAATCCAATCAAAAAGATTAGATTTGTATCATCTCCTAAGAGTACAAAAAGAGTACAAAAACAACAAAAATTTTAATTGTTTCGTATATATTCCATTATGTACAATTTCTATATAAAAAAAAAATCTGTAATTTAAAATCTCCTTAAAAAGATCTGTCCTTAAAAAGATCTGTCCTTAAAAAGATCTATCCTTATATAAAGAAAAGAAGAAACGAATTATATTTTCTTTTTTATTATTTCTATTTTTTGTTTCATTAATTGATTTTTATCAATTAAATTTGTGTCTTTTGTTTTCATTTTACTTTTGTCTAATTTTATAAGGATCACTCTGTACATTTTATCCTTGAACACGTAATCGTCCCAGATGCTTTTATGTTCGCTTTCCTGTAAGTCGTTATGCGTGTGATCTTCGTAAAATTTCTTAAAACGTAAAATATTCTCGTAACCGTATTTGTTTCCAGAATTCTGTTCGTCTTCACTCGATTCGGAATAATCTTTGTCGTTATCAGTGTTCTCGATATCTGATTCGTCGGTGTTGATATCTTTTCTTTCTGTATTTTTTGATTCTACCATCGGATAGATCGTAAAGGAACACGATTAATAAATTTATTTATAAAGATATCATGATATTAACGTTTATGATTCATATTACACGATATACCTTGGGCAGAATTTCTTAACATCAGCTCCAATAGTGACTGAAAGGATTGAAACACTTATTTTCTTTTATCATAATTGTTTCATAATTGCGATAATCGTTACCTCTAGTTGGTTTGTAAAATCCGCAGAATCTGATTTATGCATCACGAGTTTGTCTTGTTTCAAAGATTAATTTATTATGTAGAATGATTGGTTCCGGATTGATTGATTAATTTAGAATTAAATATTTGTTACATTTTGCTTTATTTTGTTAAAAAAATTATGGTTGGGTTTGGTTAGCGGATTGGATGAAGGAAGAATGACAAATTGGTTGGTTCATCGATATAATAGTTCATTGTTTCGATTCTGAATATCTCGTTATAAATTTAGCGCGAAGTTTCAAAGTGCAAAATTCTTAGCTTGAATAAACTGTTTCGTAACACTGTTGCTAATTTCTAAAATATTACATCATTTTATTATCTTTGCTCTCTATATATTGAAAATATGATTTTTATTTTTTAATATAACCTAATTATAACCTAATATGTATCGTTGTAAAAAAAAAAAAAAGATAGAATAGATTATTAATAAATAAAATAATGACTAGACACGTAATTGAAGTGTTACGTAATTTCAAATATTTTCCCATTTTCGTAATCGAGTCATGCCATTTCAGTCACGTGAATACGTAACACGTACCATTAACTCCATCTAGTAACACTTTATGTTCAATTCCTCAGCGGAACTGATTCACTCCAACGATAACATTGTCACGTTTTAATTTAGTATATTCCAAAATAAAACGCACATAATAGAAAATACAGTTTATATAATAATGATATATACATATGTATCGCTATTATTATTTTAATGCCTTTGAAACGAATCTACATTTTTACATCATGCTTCCTCTCGTCTATATGTCACTAAACATAGCATTTAGTGACTTTTCGCTTGTTTCATATAGTAACCTAGAAAAAACTTAAACCTGTCATATAAATCATCTCAGTATAATAATCATTTAATAAGGAACAATAGGAATTTCACTCATAAATCGATTTACGAGTGTCGAAAAGTGGAAAAATACGATTATCGACTGGAGGAGTCCCCATATCGAATCTCTTCATGACGTGTCAAACTTTTTCCCACTGCATCGTTCTCTTGCAACGATTGGTCCCTAGTGTGCTCATGATAGTTCTTATTGGACAACAGTGATGTGTTTTATACGTATACCGTTCAACCAGGCGCGGAATCTGAAGCGCTTTGGTACAGTGACGTGTTTAATCCCGCACTACCGACGTTCCAGCTTGCATTCCGCGGAGAAGGTTCACAGAAGTGAGGTAGTGCGGATGGTTTAGTGCTTTGGTTGCGTACGAAAACCTTGAGTATACCGGATTTGAGAACATATCCTGCGAGAAAATTGGATTTGCCGATATATAAAGCAGTTTTCGCGTTCCAAGTGGAAGGTACAGCAACACCGATTGTTTCAAGGAGGGTGAGTGGATATTTTCACGTTAATTTTCGTCCTCTGCCTCGCATCTATGTTACGATTTTAACCGGATTATATAATCGTAGATCGGATTAATTCTAATCGTTTATCGAAGTGGGAATACGCGAAATTACGCCGCAGCTAACAAACACTACGAATCGATCGGACGTCCTAGCGACCGCATTTTACTATATACTGCAGTATCGTACAAAATATACTATTCCAGAAGGTTCCGATTCATTATATATTTCGATTGTGCGGTCGTTTTCTGCGCAAATTCGGTGTGCATCACAACGTTACATAGACGAATATACGGTAACGTGAGCCGGTTTGCAAAATTCAGTCACATGCGTTGATGCTGCGTGTTACGTAACGAGGTTAGTGTTAGCAACGTAAAAAGAACGTTTCGACGACGACTGTGTCCCGCCTATCGTCGTTCGATAAGAAGCATATCAAAAAAAAAAGAAAAAAAAAAAAAAAANAAAAAAAAAAAAAAAAGAAGAAGCGGCACGATAATAAAACGTGATTGTTGCGTTTGTGTGGACCGCGATCAGTTCAAAGATAAGACACGGTTTGAACACAATGATCATCGAATACTCTTTGAAACGATATTGCGCGAATCTTATTATTTTATTCGATAACGGTATATAATTGTTTGGTACACAATTCGATAAGTAATCATTGAAAGTTTAAAAAAAACAGATCGTGCATGTATTATATAGATATAATTATTAATTGCGTGTGGCATGTAGTTACACGATAGTATCAATATTTTTTACGCCTCCTTTACTTCTAGATATGTATTTTAACATTTTTTATATATAGGTTGAATTACACTGATTGAATATCTTTTTTTAACTGCTTTTATTATTATAATATATACGTTTTATATTTTGTTTTATATGTTTTGTTATAATATAAATTTCATTTTTTTTTATCAACAGATTTGCCTCAACATGGTATACCTGGTAAAGACTCTAACTACTTTCAGTAAACTTTTTGTTTGCTGAATTTACAGATAACTAAGTCTTGAGATTGTGTTTAATATATTTGATATGATCTTCCTAACACGTATTATTATCTCTTTCGAGATACATTAACTCCGTTATCATGATAAATTAGTTTTTTGTTGGTTTATAATTTTATAGATGGAACTGTTGATATTTTTTATCTACATGTTTATAAGCTGATATTAGGATATATTGCCTGGTTTATTTAATACTTAAACATGATTTAAAACAATGTAAATTTTGTTACATAAAGATAAAAATTATTCATAGATTATTTGATAATTATTTAACAAAATACTATTCAAAATATTCTTTCTACCAAATAGAGTTAGGAGTCCTCGATGTATCATAAACATAGAAAAATTAATCTTTTCATAGGTATCCAAAATCCCTCCTATTTACGAACGCTCAACGGCCAGCAACATTTCATTTGAGAAAGGAGGCGTGTTTAACGTATGTGTTTGGCTAGATGTTACTAAAAACCTTTTGAAAAATTAAAATATGATGATAAAATTTTAAAGAAATGAAATTCTAGGTATCAAAGCCATGCAATCGCCAGCCGCGTCTATCATTTGCTTCTCGTGGCGTGAGATCGTGGCCACCGGAGGAAGAGTCTACAAAAATGGATACAGTTCCTTTGCTAACCCCAACCATGGAGTCAGAATTGCTAAACGAGCCCTGGATATTTCCACAGTCAAAGATCAATGCAACAAAAGAAGACGAGAAAACAGCATCCTCCACATGGGAGGAAAACTTTCAGGATTTAAGCAATTGGTGCATGGACCCATTCCAGGGTCAATGCGATTTTCATACAGGTGAATCACCTACTTTTAAACTATCAGGTAAATATAAATATTATCATTAAGAAGAAATTTATATAAAAAAAAGATATTTGTTCCTTGATTTTTGCAATTGTAACATTTTAGGTACGAAATACGAGGGTAACAGCGTTTTGTCTTCAGAAGAGGGGGTATTGAAAGATTTGATGAGTGTAGCAGAAGAAGATAAGTGGAGCATGAAAATGAATACTGCTAAGACAACCGAACATTCAAATAACAGTTGCCAGAGTTTACAATCTACATCAAATGTAACTAATAAATATGAGAAAAAAAATAGTTCAACAGAATCAAACACATCTAACATGTGGTTAAAGTTATCTAAAGGATCAACAACTAATGTAAATACAAACTCATGGAGCAAACAGAGTGATACAGATGTTAGTACATCATTCCAATCCAAATATCAGATAGAGGATATTGATTTGAACGATGCTTGCCCGTCTTCTTTCGATTCCACTGAGAATCAACGTGAAACGTGGGACGTGTTACGAACAGTCGAGACTACTGGATCGGATACGTTCGATTTATTGTCGTATCTTTGCGATGTAAGTTTTAAATAAGATTTATATAATTCAAGTTCAAAATATAATTATTACATAAGAATCACAAAAATGATTATTAATAAAACATGTACTGCGTTACATATTATAGGATGAAATGCATTCTCCGGAAGGTAGCGTTTCAACAGATTCTTCAATAGTATCGAAACCATGGTCATCCTCCAAATCATCCAAAACTATTTCAAAAACTAACGTAAAAGTGAAAACGGAAAATAATGATACTCTCACCCCACAATGTACGAAAACTCGAACAGCAGCATCAACGATAACTTCATCTTCTACAGATACGCCTGTGGTATCAACGCGGAGAACGGAACGAACAAGAATATCTGCTACTAATAAAATAGAAAAACCTTACAGTCGAACACGACGAGAGAGATCAGTGAGAAAACGTTACGTTGAAAGCGATTCAGACGATCGTACGTTTGCTTCACATTATCGAGAATCACGAGAAAAGAATAACGAAGCTTCGAGAAAATCACGAATGAATAAGAAAGCGAAAGAGACTGAAATGGCGAAGAAAGCGATTGAATTGGAACGAGATAATAGGATATTGAAAATGAAGGTCGAGGAACTCGAAAAACTCGTTACATCAATGCGCAGTGCATTATTGAGGTCCGCTTTGAAGAAAGAATTATAATAAAAGCGTTTCTTATTTTAAAAATTCATTATGCGCTGGGAATCGCGTAAGATAATTTTATCATTTCATATATTATATATCATTTATATATTTTGTGATATAAGAGAAGAAAATCATGCATTATTTTCATCTATATTGCTAAGATTATTAATGTGAGGAATGATTTCAAATTGTTATATTGAATGAATTCTTTTATTTTTGTTTATCGTTTGAAAAAAATTATTGAATTCTATTATATATATATATACAGATATATACATATATCATTATCATTCGCAGAAAAGATATATTATGTTAACATTCTATGTAAATGTTTGTTACACAATGTTTGTGTTTGTTTTTTTTTCAAAGATATCTTATGTACAATTATATTTTATATATAATGCTTATATTGAAATCTGAATACTGTTCATATAATTATGGTGAACGACAAAGCAAAAAATGGGATAAAAAGAAGAAAATGATAGATAGAAGAAAATGAATAACTTCTAGTGGTATCCTTTTTATCAAAAAAAAAAAAAAAAAAAAAGAAAAAGAAAAAAAAGATTACATAATCATATTTTGTTCAGCCTTGTATTGTACCTGATAAAAATAGAGGTCAGAACAAGATAAATTATGTTTGGTAAAAATATAATTTTTCTACTGGCGTGGGCACAATAGTGGCATGATGTACAATTAATCTTCGAATAAAGAACATGCTTCAAAATCTACCTCGTAGTGAAGAGAA